CTAATTTTGCAACTGATTTGATATAAGGTTTCCAAGAAAGATCAGAAGTAAGAGTTAATCCTAAAAGATGAAGGGTAGGAGACTCATTGAGTACATTACTGTTAATAAATATAGGAAGATCTAAATTATTGCGATAACGATTGGCCGAAAAAAATTGAGTTTTATCTGAATTAAAGTTCACCAGCCACTGTGAGCCCCATGCTGTAGCGAAGTGAGATTGTTTTCAAGCTCAGATGCCCCCTGCAAGCAAACAGAGGGAGTTGGCTTCTTATCGTGACAAGAATAAATGGTAGTATCATCAGCAAACAATGCCACCTTAGATGTGAGAATATCTGGAAGATCGTTAATGTAAATTAAAAAGAGTATAGGGCCAAGGATTGAACCTTGGGGAACCCCTGAGGTTACAGAATAAGAAGAAGAGTGCTGTCCATCAAGGACAACTTTTATACTACGATTGGAAAGGAAGGATTCAATAATCTTAAAGATGTTTCCAGATACACCATAAGAAGAAAGCTTATGGAGCCATGATATTACCAAACCATGATCAGACACACCTAAGGGTGAGTGTGAAGAAACTGAGCACTGACTAGGATCAGAAACAAGACATAAGTCGAGTAGAGAAGGTAAATTATTCAGGTTGTCTGGAAAGCGAGTTGGAAAGTTGACTATTTGAGTTAGGGATTGAGAAAGACAAAAGTTGTGGGCCTTAATGCCTGCAGAGTCACTGACACTAGAGCCAAGCCATTCAGTGTGATGAACATTAAAGTCACCGACAACAACAATATTGGCTGATGGATGAAGAATGAGGGCTTGGTCAATATAATCAGAAATAACATCAAGAAGAGAACAGTCTTGAGATGAGGGAGAGCGATATAGAACAAAGAGAAAGGTGATGGAGTGAAGTGGTGCTAAACGAAAGCACATAAAAGAGTAGTCTGTGGATTCAAACCTAGTTTCTCGACAAGTGGGTGAATTCTTACAAATGTAAATGCCCAGGCCAAGCATGTGACTATTGGAGTCTTTACGAATTAAAGGAAGATAACCATCAACACTAAGATCACAAGATGAAACAGCTGAACTCAAATTAGTCTCACAAAGAGCAAGTAGGTCTGGTGAACTTTGCAAGAGGTAAGACTCAATAGAAGAAAAATTACTTCGAAGACCACGAATATTGGTGAATGATAGGTTTAGCGAACTTGGTGATGACTGTGGTTTTTTGTGTTTGATAGTTTTTGTTACTTTATTCATTTTTAGATTTGTTAAAGAATTTGACTCGAAACAGATATTACTCAGTATACTGTTTTATAACTCAAGCAATTGCCTCATTTCCACTAATAAACCCTAAGCGATAACAAAGGGCTCCAATGTGGCCTTGGCAATGCACACCAAAAGTACAAACAGGGACACCATCCATGCGCAACATGGCACTGTTAGTACTATGATATATTTTTCAGCTGTTGATGGAATCAGCCTCTCTGAGAGCTACCACAGAGTTCGGGAAACCTGACTACCAGCTGGCCTCAGAACCATAAAACTGAGTTTTAGAGCTGCACCCATTTGGAGATAATAGAATGAGTTGCCTAGTCATAAAAATAGAGACACAAGCAAAACCCATGAATCGAGTCAAGAAGATCCAGCGTTCAACCTAAACTGGAAACAATGTATTAAAAATACATCAGCCTAATAGATGAGGAAGGGGTGCGAGACTGGTCAACAGATAGAATCTGTTTACCCCTTAAGTCTTTGCCTAGGAGGCCTTCTACAAGACAGCAGCTGGATGCATGTAACATCTGCCCAAGATGAGTATTTTTATCGAGACACCATCTCTAGCTTTTACTCAACCAAGAGCCCCTAGGCAGGGGGTGTTTTATGTTGGAGTTTGCATCTCCTAGCCTTTTCCTATAAAGGCATATCCTACAAGGCAGCAGGACATGAAGCAGATTGTACTGGGTTACATGTTACCAGTAGCAGGATAAACCTGACCTGACATAAATGACTGACAATAACATAAAAATTTACTCAAAGTTATTTGGAAATAAGTTTAAAAAAACAATAACTCAAAAAATATATTATAGACTTAAACCTTATACTAAATAAACAAATAATTTCCTAATCACATAAACTGTTATTATTTTGTAGTAACATCTTTACTTACATTAAGATTCTTTAAACAACACAAGTTTCGGACGTCTTTATACTTAAGTAATAAGTATCCTAAAAAAAAGCCAATAACTTTGTACAGTGATAATATTCCCATTGATAGTGCTCAAAAACAGATCATTAGGTTTTATTAGGGCTTACGAATAAAAAGAGAGTGAGAATAAGCCTACAATAAAAACACATTAAAAAAAAGCCTTAATTTGAAACTCTCGTTATCTCCTAATATTGTCCATATAGGTCACACCAAAGAGAGTTTTTTTCTATATTAATGTCTTGATCTTATGTAACAATCTTACCTCTTAAGTGGTTTAATTGCTCAATTTGCTGATGATACAATTATATACTCCAGTTTTTATAAAAATCATAAATATTTGAACCACTTATTTAAAGTCATCCTTAAATGCCAACACTCTTCTTCATTTCCAGTAACATCTGCGGCACCTCAAGGTTTTATCCCTAATCCTGTTTTGTTTCTTATCTATATTAGTGATCTTCCTGGCAACCTTACATCTTAAGTGGCTCTATTTGCTGGTGACTCAACTTTATACTACTGCCTTGACAAAAATTCAATCTTGAATCTGATCTAACCTCTGTAACAGATTGAGGCTTGCGTGGCTTGTGAATTTAAACTTCAACCAAACTTAGTTATTTACTACAAATAAATATATTATACAAATAGCAATACTGTTGACATTCCTATATTGATAAATAGCAAGCCCTTCACTGAGTCCTCTTCTCGGATTATTATTTACTTATGACCCTTCATGGAAACCATATGTACAATTGCAAAAAAAAAAAAGCAGCTGCTAAAGTTGCTTCTTTTTATCGTGCTTGCCATTTTCTTACTCCTGATTTCATTTCTACCTCTGCTAATCTCTTTTTTGCCCCTGTTTGAAATAATGTTGTCATATTTAGACTGGTTCTTCCAATGATGCTCTTATTTCTCAAGATAAGGTCCAAATATGCATTGTAAATGTAGTTGTGTAGTACCTGCTCTATCTGTCAAGCTAGAGCCTCTCTTTCAACGTCGTAAAGTTGCATCTCTGTTCTACAAATACTAACATGGTCCCTACTTAAAGGAGCTTTCATCACTAGTTCCATAAACTCATTTTTGCTTGACTCGTCATTTAGCAAAGTCTCACCCCTTTACTGTATCTGTCCCTGTATGCCATAAAAAATTTTATTTGTTTAGTTTTTTCCCCTTAATTGAACCCTTTGGAACTTTCTCCCGTAATCATGTTTTTCTAACTCATACAGCCTACAAATTTTCAATTCTTGTGTCAACCAAATTGTTACTCTTTAACTCTATTTTTTATTTTCTAATAACTTAACAGTTATTAGAACTTTAAAATAACAAAAATGTGTCAACTCTGAATGTAACAAATACATTATAAACATTTGCAGCCACTTGTTAAAAGAACACAAAAGACTTATTTGGTGTACAACTTATATAATTAGACACCAAAAGCATATGATTACAAATAATTTTATTTGATAGGAAGAACTTTTTATTTGATCTTATTGGACACACATTATTTTGAAATATTTCTTTTTAGGCAATGATCTCTAATCTTCTTTGCATTTTATCAACACTTTTAAGAAGGCCAGAATTGTATAAAAGCTGGCATACCAAATAAAGATAGATGGATATCAAAAGGTAGATAGATGCTAATGGTAGAAAGATATCACAACAAAGTAATACAAAAAAAATCTTGAAAAATCATCAACAAATTCATCAAAGCTAAATTCTTTAAACTTTTTCTTGAAATCAATTACTGAAATGGCATTGACAACTTTTCTATGCAAACAATTACACTTTTTAAATACAGTGGATTGCCAAATTATTAGGGACACTTTACTTTTAAAGTAATTTTAAAGTACAAACTACTTTAATGAATAAATATGTATCTTATTGTTATTTTTTTTATTGTTTTTATTGGTAAAGAGTTTTATTTAGAATATAAAACAACATAATTACTTATTCATTGCTATTTATTTTTTTATAAAAAGTTTGAAAACATGACAAATAAGGTAATAATCTTAATATTTTGTAATGCCACCCTTAGCTACAATAATAGCTTTCAGGCATCTGATAATGCTATCTATGTAGACTTCTGCATTGTGTTGGAGACTGATGTTGCTATTCCACTCTCTTATAAGGATTTCTATCAATTGCTGCTTGGTAGTAATAATTTTTTTTGGCAATTTTCTGTTTTATGAACTGTCATAAATTTTCTATAGGGTTAATATCAGGTGAATTCCCTGGCCATGGTAAAACATGCACTTTTTTTTCAGTTAGGAATGCTGTAACACTTCTAGCTTTAGGGGATGGTGCTGAGTCATGCATGAACATATACTCTTCATTACCAGGGAACCATTCTTAGACCTGGAGCAGGAGCCTGTTTTCCAGTAATCGCTTGTAGGAAGGAACCATATGGCAGGACCAATCCTGCTTCATGGTTCCTTCCACAATGTAAAGGCAGCCCATACCCTTGGCTGAGATCACAGACCACACCCCTACACTCACAAGATGTTGAACCTTTTCCAAAAAGCAGTCCTAGTGAAATTTTTTTCTGTGCATCGTCGAACAAATGAGCTTTTGTCCATCAAAATTTGAAATGCTGATTGGTCCGAGAAGCAGACCTGTAAAACATTTTAAAGATATTTTACCTGCAAAATATTTCAAAAATAAATATTTATCCTTAAATTTTTCTGGTTTCTTACAATATTATAAATTATATTTACTCTACTCCAGTCTTCAATAGTCATATTCTGGTGTTTTCTAGCCCATTCCAGTCACTTTTTTTTCATGGCTTCAGATAAACATTCTTTTTTTGGTTGGACGATAACACACTAAATTCTCTTCAACCAACCGTCCCTGAACTGTCCTTTTGGAGACGTTAATTCCTTCATTGTTTATAATTATAGCTAGTTGAGCCAAACTTTTTTTTCTGTTTTCAAGACAGATGTCTTTAAATTTACGGTCATAACATGGAGTAGTGATCCTTTTCTGCCACTTTTGCTGACATGGTCTGGTTCTTGAGTCACATTTGTATTATTTTTTTTTAATTCGACTCACTACTGACTTTGAAACACTTGCAACCTCTCTCTGAGAATGTGTAGAATGAAGAAGTAAGGTTTTTACTTTTCTGTTTTTTTTTTGGGGTTAAGTCTGGAGACTAAAAAAATAATGAGAGGTAAAAATAGTTGTATGTCAGGGATTTATGCATTAAAACTAGCAAAAATACTAAATTAATTAGCAAAAATACTAAACTAATTGAACTATTAACGAATATTTAGGTTTCAATAGTTTTAAACTCAAAAAAATTGCAAAAAATTGTTCCAAAAATAAGTAACTGAAATCAATTTTGAATTTTTGACTTTCAACCACACTTTTCAAAAATTGACAGCTAATTAAGTAATAACCTAACTTTTTGACAGATCGGGTTATCACAAATTGCCACAGTTTAAAAACAACTATAGTTATATTAGTGACTAAAATACACTCAAAACTTCTTATTTAAAAAAATTTATTTGCTTGCAAAAATCATTTAAACTTTAAAATTACTTAAAAAGTGAAGTGTCCCAAATAATTTGTAGCCAATTTTTGCGGCTTTGTGTTGGACTTTTTCGATAAAATTTATATCTTTATCAAAATATGAATTCCATATTTAAGATGCATATTCGAAGAAGTATTTGAAATTTTTGAAAATATTTCGAAAATTTAGAAAATAACTCAATTAGAAAAAAAATAAATAAATCACTCTACACAGTTTGATCTTGACATCTTATTTAACTGGAAAAAAAAAAGGCTAATCAGTTTTAATAAGGATAAATATGAAACCATGCAAATTGATCTAAAATAAAGTACACTTTGATATATATAATGCTACAGAAAAAGATATCATTTTATTTTACAATAGTACAAGCTTCCTTCTTCCTACTTCCAATGAGATATTTTATTGATTGCTTGTAAAAATGATTGATAGATCAGTTCTCTTCATTGATACACTTAATAGCTTCAGCAGACTGTGAAAATCAGTGGCGAGTTTTAGGGGGGGCATGGGGGTAGTTGCCCCCCCCCTCATTGGGATTGACTATTATAGGTAATTATACATATATGAACTTGATTATTACACTAAAGTACAAAAAGTTAAAAAAGAAAGTCACTTTAAAGTGAAAAAATGCAGACCTTTTTTTAAAAAAATCATTTTAGCCACCTCCTTGGTGAGTGACAAAACCCACCCCTGGTGAAAATATTGAAGTTTGTATGAACAATATTACATATATTAGGAATAGTACAAGAACATACCAAGTATATAACAAAACCATCAGTAGGAGCAGGCATTTAAATTTAAGGCCTTAAGTAATCTGGATGAAGATACTAAATACTAAATAAAGAAAGTTTATACATATTTTAAACAATATTAAATCTAAAGTTCCTAAACAACAGCAATAAAAATAGCAATTAAGATTTACTACAACCTTATTGTTGTTGGTTTAAATAAATGGAAACATTAACATAAATGTTAAAATTTAATAGATGTTATGACAAAACAAGTTAAATAACATGTTTGAAATAATAAACTAACTTTAAGATGTTTAAAACAGGCAAACAAGAAATGAAAATTAATTTGGATAACTCTTTAATGTTTTTTTACTTTTAAAATCTATTGTTTAACTTTATCTACACAAAAAAGAAAAAAGAAATCTTACATCTCTAGTAAAATGACCAGTATAAGAACTTTTTGAAGGAAAGCAAACTGGAAACACTCTTTCCCTTACTACTTTATTTCTTGACAAAGCATCTTTAATACGGTTTGAGAATTGCACTCTTCTAAATTTAGTATCCTCAGCAATCTAAAACAAAGTTTATTTTAAAAAGAATTAGCATAAACTAATTGGTTATATTTTAAATTGATGCATGTATGTCTTGAATAGTTAATATAGGACTGACTTAAATCTCATTTCAATAATATAAATTAAACAAACAAAGAAATAAAACCTTAAAACTTGAGAATTTTTAAACTTTCTAAATTTTTATTTGAAAACTTCAGTTAAATTTCTTGGTGACCAAGAAATTAAAATATAGCAAATAGCTTTTTGAAAAACTGTGATCTGATACCTATTAAGAAAATTAGACAAAAGAACAAAAATAAAAGGTTTAGACATATAATCATTAATACAGGAGCTATTTTAGAAACAAATTGATAAAGAAAAACATATTATAATAATAAATAAATTTTATAAACTTCTTTAGAAGAGGTTTTTCTATCATTCCCGTGCATACAATCAAGCACTTTGCATCCTAAAACCATAAAGGGAGTACCATTAAATGATATTGAATCATCTTATTTTGTGGTGTTTTGCAGAAGAATTTTTAAAGATAACAACAACAACAAAAATTTTTAATAATAACTATACAAATATAAAAGAAAATTAAAATTTAGCAATTGCATTTTAAAAACACTTAATTAAAATTGTCATACCCATATATCCATAGTTTTTAGCAGCACTATAGCATTAAAACTTTGACACAGCCTCTGTTTCGTAGCTATGTATCAAAAAAAGTACTTCAACGTATGTTTCTACAGTAACCCAACTTCCTTCTTGAGAAATAACAACTAAAAAAATTTAAACAGTAACAAACATACAAACGTGGAAATTGATACTTCATTTAAAGCGTGCTTGTAGAGGAAATTCCTTTTTAGACAAAAAACTTTAAATTATGAATATATAAAGCTTATATTATATTACTCGTTTAAAAACATTCGGAATGTTTTTAAATTTTTAAATTTCTCAGGAATGTCATTCCTGAGAAATGTTTTTAAACGAGTAATAAAACAAACATCAACATAAGCTTTTTATATTCAAAATTTAAAATATTTTTTCTAAAAAAGTTAAAATGTCTTGTATTACCTCTACTCAATGTTGTTTTTTCTAATAAATTTAAATTATTATTATCTCTAATAATAATTTTTTTACCAATTTAAATTTAATCTTCGACGATAACCAGGTGAAAAGGTGCTCCACATTTAAAGAATATTAATTATTTCATAAATTAAATTATAAATGCAAAAATTAATTATGTTAACTCTGTCCTGGACGTGAAGCGGGACAATTGCGGAACATTTTACGGGACCTAACTTTTGGTTAGCAGACGATCCCATGGCTCAAAAGGAGGTGAATAATTTCGTTTGCCGTAGAGTTTTTCCCATTGCTCAGAAGTAGGTAGGTTTTTTCGGAAGCCGTTGAGTTTATACATAAAAGTAAACAAAAATTGACACGAGGTTAAAGTAAATATTAGTATGGATCTATTTTCAGTTTTTAATGACGACAATTTAAGCCTGAACAGTTCTGAAGAAAGCTCTGAGGAAAGTGAAATTCTACAAGGTTATTTATTCTGTATGGATTAATTTGTTAAAAGTTGCGTCAAGATTGTAATTAGTGATTTAAATCCGTCACAATACAATAATTTGTGAGGAATTTAAATACCTCAATTCAAAGATTATAATACATCGCAGCAAGTTTATTCAATCAAAAATAACTAAAATAAAAATATTCAAGTTTGAAAAGAAAAATTTGAATACAACTCTAGATTAGAATTAAATTTTTACTTTAGAAATTGTTGAAGAGGATGGGAAAATCACAGATATTGACTTTTTGCCAGTAAATTGCATTGATAATGGTTTGTTTCTAATTTACTAAATAAGTATAAGAAAATTAGGATTTTGTTTAATTTTTAAATCTTTTAAAGTGTTTATTATAAAAACAAAATTTTATTAAGGTTTACCCTTTTTTTTTTTCAAGAATATGTTATACTGTCGTCATTGTGATTTCAAAACTGTTGTTAAATCTATTTGTAAACATTTGTTATAGGAGACAAAACCAAACTTGTTTATCATTGTAAATCACACGAAGAAGCATTGCATTGTATCAAAAAATATGAATTAAGAACAACAACACGATTTGTGGTGTATTATGCTAATAAAAATTTTGGTAACACAGGTTAGCTGATTGCCAAGTGATCTTACTTTTTGAATTCTTTGCAGGATTTTCAAATAATTTTTTGCATTAAGTTACTAACTCAATATTTTTTATTTTAGATACAATTACAACGAATCATAGTGTACTTTGGGAAGATTCTGCTATTCCTTATTCAGGAATACCTTATATTGTTATTTCAAATAAAGTTTTAGATTGTCACCATGGGTTTGACAGAAATGTTTCAAAAAAAAATGATTACAAAAAAAATAAAAAAAGACATGATGTAACTAAAAATATCTTTAATTTTTGCTACAACTTTATTCTTGAGTTTTGATTTATATCATTCTTTTATTCTTAACACTTTAAAATATAATTTTATAAGTAAAATGTCTGGATTTAAAATTTAATTGCAGATGGATGATCATTGCTTTCAAAAAAACTATTTAATCTTACAAGATAGTAAAAAGTTTATGTGTCCTGCCAAAATAGCTATGAAGGAAATAATTCACTTTCCTGATTTTAAGGTATAAATATTTTAACAAAAATAATTTTTCAAAGGTTAAAGAAGTAAAGTATAAATTTTCAAACAGTTGTTAAACATAGTTTCATTTATACATTTAGATATCAGAAAAAACTGAGTGGCGCAAAAAAAACGCATCAAAACTTTTGAGACAAAAAATAAAAACTTCACCATTAAATGAAATCCAACATACAAGAACAATTGTAGTTTCCATTGATGATTTGTCCTGTCATGATAAACATCCTGTTGGACAGGTTAATATTTATATACAGTTGCAAAAAATTAATAAATTAAATTATGAAAAAAGAATTGTATCTGTTTTATGGTTTTATATTTTATTGTAAAATTTATTTAGGCTGACTTGATTTCTCAAATGATTGATCCTCAAATTTCTAAAAAAATAGAAGAATATGTTAAAGAAGGAATATGCAACATTAGAGAAATGAAACGTCTTCTTCGACTATTTGTTAAGGATATATTTGAAAAAGAAAATCTTCCTCCTCCAAATAATAGAAGATTTTATCCATGTGTTAATACTATAAGATCACATATAGTTAAAATGAAGCAAAAGTTGAGGTAAATTTTATATTATTCTAACTTGATGTAACCAAGAAACCATTAGCATTGCTAAAAATCCCTGTTGCAGTCAGTATTCCTTCAACTGCCTCCTTTATAAGAACAACAATGTATAATCTACCAGATTGTATGTATATCCACCAGTTCGTATTTTCCCTCATTTGCTTGTCCTCCACCTGCATATTGGTAAATTTTCAGCTTTCATAATTCATGTTTCACTAACAAATATCATAACAAAATTTACCACATCTTCCATGATACTGGATATTTTGTTGCTAAGTTAAAGCAGAGTTAACAAAAGTAGATCAAAATAATGTCTTAATACTTACACTTATGTTTTATATATATATTTTAGTGCTAATTTGTTGTACTTTAATTTTAAAGATATTCCATGATTGATCAAGAATGTCTTTTGAAAAAGTGTCATGAATGGAAAAAAATTGATCCACATATTAAAGTGTTAATTCGACCAAAATGGTTTTATATATATATATATATATATATATATATATATATATATATATATATATATATATATATATATATATATATATATTTAAATGGCTTTTTAAAATTTCAACTAAAATTGCTTTTCATATGGTGCCTCACCATTGATATTACTAAAAAAAAAAATTCTATCACATTTAAACCACTTTATCAGTCCGTGCAATGGGTCCAAAGGTCATTTTTAAGCTGTTAACCCTGTTTTCTGTTGACCCTTTTTTCAGTCAAATTGTGGGGACCCTTCCCATGGATCAATTTTGAAAAATTATATTTTTTAAAGCAATTTTATGCATAAGAATTGAATAAAAATTCAATGTTACTTCTATATTGTATATATATATATATATATATATATATATATATATATATATATATATATATATATATATATATATATACACATATTTATATATTTATATTCTTATATATATATATATATATATATATATATATATATATATATATATATATATATATATATATATATATATATATATATATATACATATATATATACACATATTTATATATTTCTTTTTTTAGTTATTCAGAGTCGAACTATAAAATGAGTTGTGAATATAAACGCTACAGTGCTAGTGTACCTGAATACCTGCTTAATCGACCACGTCATTTTGTCAAACATTGTTTAAAGAAGCAAGATTTAGCTAACAGTGTTGATATAAATGGAGTAAAAATTAAGGATTATGGAATTTTTTTAATAAATAGTTTTTCAGATAAACATAAAAGTTACACTGTTTCTTTTGGTGATAAAAATAAAATGCCAAAATGTACCTGTAATGACTGGTTGCGATCGGGTTACCTTTGTAAACATTTTTTTTTAGTATTTCGAAAGTTTCCACAAACATGGTCATGGGATTCTTTATCATTATTATACAGGCAATCTCCATTTTTAAATTTGGACATTAATAAAAAAGACATTACTGTTAATGGTTCAGATAAATCCCAGCATAATGAAAAAAATATTTCAGAATATACTAACAATATTACTGATTGTACTTACAATGTTTCTACTAATACAGAATTAAACCATTTGAATGGAAGTAAAAGAAAAGTAGTTAATACTGCCTCTGAAGTTCGTGAAATGCTCACAACTATTCGAAATTTAACATTTGATTTTGATGAAACTTCAGAAGAAATTTTAAACCTGCATGGAATGCTGTCAAATGTATTAGAAAATTTATATCATGCAAGAAAAAAAGAAAAAGGCTTACCAGTTAGAACAGAAAGTGCACATGATTATGTAACCAAAAATCATATTAAAACAGTTGATATGCCTATTGTTAAAAAAAAATCTTCACATCGAGTAGGTAAGAAAATTGATTCATTAAGCTCAGCATCTATCATCAAAATTGATTGCATTGCTTCTGAAGCACCAATACAAGAATGTATTATCACAGATGATCTAATTACAGGGGATACAACCTTTACAACAAATTCTACAACATTTGAAAATGAATCCTCTTTAAACAACGCTAAATATGCACTACCAAGCTTTCCACAACTTTCAACTGAGGATGTTGAAGATATTTTAAATAATCGAATGTTATCAGATAGTGTCATACATCATTTCCAAAACTTAATAAAAAAACGTCATTTATCATCAAATGGACTTCAAGATCCAATATTGGGACAAAAATTATTTTTCAAGGCACTAGGTTCACAACCATTTGTTCAAATCATTTATAATGGGCATAACCATTGGCTTGCTCTCAGCACATATGGTTGTAAATATGGAGAAATTTATGTACTTGACAGTAACTTTCAAGGAAATTTATCAATAGATACTCAGAATCAAATATGTTCTCTTTTAAAATATGATGAAGCTATGATCAAAGTAATTGTTTTACCAGTGCAGCAGCAAGAAGGATATGTAGATTGTGGTTTGTTTTCGCTGGCTTTTGTTGAATTTATTTTATCAAACAACAAAAACCCTGTTGAAAATATTTGGTTTGACCAAAAACAATTTAGAAGTCATGTTCTCTTGTGCTTGAAGGAAAATGTAATGAGATCTTTTCCACTTTCAAATTGTGCAAGTCGTCGATGCCATTCAAAAGAGTTTATATTGAAAATCTTCTGTTCTTGCAGGATGATTTTGACACCACAGTATCAAGTTATTTACGGAAAGTAAGTTGTTATACGTATTTTCATTCATAAATATCGTTTATACAATGATACCTGGTAAAACTTTTTGCTTTAGCTAATGCAGTATGATGTCATCAGTAACTTTTCATGTGGACCTATTTATGCAATATGATATATATATATATATATATATATATATATATATATA